CGAAGTGTAAGTTTAACGACGTGGGGCGGAGTGGGGCCGAGGGCTCTGTGTCGCCGGTGATCTCCTGGGCCGGCGGAGCGGGCTGGGCCGGTGTCAGCGCGCGTTTATTGATGGCAGGTATTTGGGGAGTAATTGAGCGCGGTGGCCGGCCCGGGGCGAGAGTGGGCCTCCACGAGCAATTAAATGTGATTAGGCCGAGACCTTCGGGATCCAGCTGGGTGACTGATAACCCGGCTGCATTCCTGCGGGGCCCTCGACATCAAACGGGCGGCCTGCGGCGGACGGGCCGCTCTGGATGCTGATCTGCCTCCCGACGCCCACCGGTTCCGCGGGGAACCCCAGGACGGCCTCTCCCTTGCAAGGGTCTGTGCTCCCCCACCACCAGGTGCAGCCAGGGAGGGCGGGACGCCAGGCGAGGAGCCCCCTCCTAGTGCAGCTCTCGCAGCGCCGACCCGCCCAGGCTGAGCTCCCGAACCAGGCACGAGTCGCGGGACTCGAAGACTGGAAGGAGAACGAGAAAGAGTTGGAGGTGGATGGGGTGGGAAACAGTGGACGTGGGACTCCATTAGAAAATGGAAAAGAGACTGAGGAAGGCGATGGAGGAGCAGCTGTCAGGCAGAGAGGAGCAAAGAAAAGAAGGAAAGAATTTAAGAACAAGGGTATAAAGATAATCTTAGGCAGTAAGAGAAAAATTAAAAAGCATAAAGTGGGACCTGCAGGAGAAAGAATGAAAGGAGCAGCGGGTAATACAGGAGAAATAACGAAGAAGAGGTGGGTTAAGAGTAAGGGTGATACACACTGAAACTGCCCAAAACACGAAACTGGAGAGAGGCTGGGGAAAAGGAGGTTATGAGGCGTGAAAGTGAGCAAGGTACGGTATCCCTACACAAAACCCACGAATCTGTACAACGTTAAAAAGAGTGAAAGAAAAGTTAAAAACAGGAGGAGAAACAAAAGATGGGAAAGAGAAATAAGAGGCAAAAGAATGAGGAAAGTACAGGAGAAAGAGGTACAGTACCAGGGTCACAAAGACAAGAAAGGAGCTGGCCAGGTCCCTCCCAGGCTGGACCTCCACCCCCAAAGTGACTGCCTCACACCCAGCTCTCTGTGCACAGTGCCACCGGCTCCCTGGAGCCTGGGGAACCTGACTTTTGTCCCCTAGAGCGTGACTCCTACAGCCAGCTCCTTTTCCCTCCAGACTGGGTGAGAGGCCACCCCCACCTAAATTCCATCCTGAGCAATGGACTCTGCACCAGGAGCCTGGGCTCCACAATCCCTGAATCCCAAGTGGAGGAGTGGGGTTCCTGGGCCATTGCCTCGAGGTCCCAGAGTCTCCAAAGCTGGGGAACAGTTTCTGTCTCTGCTGACTCCTCAGACAGGATCAAAACAGCATGAAAGAAATCAGAGAGAGAGAGAGAGAGAGAGAGAGAGAACGTCATCATGGGCAGGAGCTGGACTTCTAAAATCCCCTTCCGCCCCCATAGGCTTCAATATTAAAAAAAACCCTAGGAGCCTCAGACACTGTATTAATTAGTGCAGCCACCCATGAAAAGTTGGGTTTGGAGCGGCATTCTTTGCCCTGTGTGAGAAACCAAGTCTAATAAACAATTGTTAAGTTGGCCTGTTGCCGCTGGTAAATTACATAGCATTAAAAAAATAATGCTTTTCATATTAGGCACTAATTAAAGGTTGGGACAACTTTAAAACAAGAGAGGGAGGGGGGAAATCAAAGAAAATATAAAAATGTTCTTTCAAGAGTTATGGGAGGTTAATAAAGTGTGTCTGTTAGACTGAGCCTACTTTGCCCCTAGCTACAGCCAAACTGGAGCCACCGCAATTGGGTCTCAATAAGATAATGATATTCCTTTCTCTGCTATTAAAAAGCCTCCCAGTGCAAACTTAAAATGATTTATTTAATTTAGGAAATTATGAGGTGTAACTTCAAAGCCCGAGCCGTTAGTAATGGAAAATACCAGGTTATTTAAAATTATAATAATAATTGTTTGGAGGACTCAGGACATCAAAGTGTTTTCATCAACAAATGCAGAGTTCGGAGGAGGGTGGAAAGAGTCAGAGGAGGTGGATGGGGTTTGGATTTGATTATTATGAACCTTATCAGGGCAGGATTTAGGATTCCCGCAGCCTAGTACTCTGCTCTGCTTTGAAGCGGGATATTTTGGAAAATAGTTTTACTGCTTTTTATTTCGTTTCTAGCAGGGAGGAGGTGAGAGGGTGACTAGGGGCAGAAGAAGGGCTGTAGGGAAGGTGACAGCAGGCTTTTTCCTTCTTGCTGTGCCTACTTTATTTCATTAAGCGGCTGCAGTATCATCAGACCCAAAAGCCTTTTTTTTTTTCCTTACATAAAAGAGGACAACAGTCACAATCGACTTCGCCAACCAGGCCCTGTGATTTTGGAGAGGGTGTGTGTGACGTGGGTTCTTTTATAAATGAGGTTTATGCTTATTTCAAATCCAGCAGTGAATGGGGGTGGGGGGATGGCCTCTCCAACCCGTGGCAAATGAGAGGCTTTTATAGCAAAGAATGGCCGTGGGAGTTTTCATTCGGTCAGACAAGGTTCTGCTCAAAGGCAGGGATCCTCTTTTCAGTCGGGTCAGGCAGACGTTTCGCCAACGCCCGCTCTCAGCCAGGCCTGTGCTGCCTACCTCCTGCCGCCCAGCCCTACCCGGCCAGGACTGACTTGGGGGAAGGGTTGGGCTGAGCTCTGGGACTGGCGCTGAGGAGGCCGGTTCACTCTGCTGGAAGCCCCTCACAGCCCTGAGGGGTTGGAGCCTGGACCAGACTCCGAATCTAGACTTCCCAGATCCCTGCGTCGCGTCGGTTCTTACGGGCTCGCCTAGCCAACTCTGTTGCCCACCTCCTAACTCAGGCTCAGCCTGGATCCCCTTTCCTCTGCCGACCAGCTCCGTGACCTCAGGGAGCCACTCTCTGAGCCTCAGTTTCTTCAACTAAACCTCTGGGAACGGTGCGCAGTGACATGCGCACTGCAGGAAAATGCGTACTTCCTCACTAGCAGGGTCTCCGTGACGCGGTAAAACTGTGACTTGCTGCTTTCTGCCCCTCTTTGCAAATGCAGGCTGCCTGAAGTTTGAGATGCTCCCGCGTGGGTGGGGGTGGTTTCGGGTGGCTGTAGAGCGAGCGAGTGCAGGGGCCGAGAGCACACGCTGTTGTTTCGGCTCTCACGCGTGTCACGAGGGTCCTGAGTGAGTGTGGTCCGCCGCCGCGGGTTGTCACCCTGGCCCTCTGACACGCCTGCCGCTCGCTACCAAGCCAGACCGAGGCCAGGACTGAGGTGACAGGGACGGCCGAATTCAACCTAGGACCGGAGGATGGCGAGGAGCCTCGGAGCAGGGTGCTCGGCCCCGCCCCACGGACCTCAGCTCTGGTCCTCATCGTGGCGCCCAAGCATCTGGGGACCCTGGGGGGCAGTAATGCTGGAGCCTATTCAACCACCGCGTAGAACCTCAGGTTTTCTTCAGGATCTGGGGAGATGGGGTGGTGACTAGCCACCCTGACTGATCCCAGTCTCCCCCACTCGCCTAGCAAGACAGCCCCGATCCTCCGAATTGCAACCAGAACCAAGGACCTTTCTTCCCTGAGGCAAACTGTGCCTCAACCAAGAGCCGATGTCTCTGGATTTCCCACCCCGGGTAACACTGTCCGCCCAGGGCTGCGGGGTCGGAGCGGAGGCGCCGGGGAGGAAGCTCTGTGGACAGGCTAATTAGGGACCCAACTTGGCGGCTGATGACGAAACCGTGGACTTCGGCTTCTGGAAAACGTATCTCTTAAATGCCTGTGGCTAGATTCGGACTTCAAGTTCAAGAGGCCAAGTAGGATAGCAGAGGTGGCTTAGGACACTGCAGCTCAGCTGAGTGCAGACAGGAGGGTAATGGCTTCTGACTTCAGCACATCCTAGGTCTGAAGTACGCTCCTGCAGATTAGAACCTCCTGAGAAAGTGGCTCGACTCTTAGTATCCCTGCCACACAGGGACAATGTTTCCGGTGCCAGCACAATGGGAACCGGGCATGAAAGCACCAGTCCTACTAGGTGCCACCCAGCAGTTCCTGCAGCACAGTTCTAGCCTTTCTTCCCGGTTTTCAGAGTCATGGGGCTCCCCTCAGAAAACTGACCACTGAGAAAGTCATCACCACAAGCACCTACTTTTGATTTATTTGTGCAACAAAAAACTGAATTAAGATCCTTCCCCAACCCATCACCTTTTTAAGGTCATTACCTCAAAACCCAAGCCCACAAACTTACTGCCATCCAGTTTCCACTAGAATAGGGAGGCTTCCTATCAAAGAGGGTTTGACTGAACCACTTGATTCCTTCTTGTTGGTCTTTCTCCCAAGAGGAGATACAGAAGGGGATTTCATGTACTCCTGAAACGGCAGTTGGCATCCATCCTCCCAACCCAACCAGTGGATTTAGTTACTATTTCCAATTGCAAAGAGCCATAGGTCCCCCTTTTTTAGCTTTAAGGTAGTGGTCCTGGCACCTGCGTGATTTCAAGTTCAAGATTTTCCCTGGATCATCTACAAACTACTCAGATTCTATCTAGTGACCCCTCCTTCCTCACCATTTCTTTTAAATTCATTTTTCAAAAAAAAAATTCATTTTTCACTGTAGTTTGCAAAACTTGTGATAGCAATTCCATTTCTTTCAATGAACGACACAAGCTACCAAGAGTAACACTGGAAAGTATCTCTTTTTCAACTGCCCCCCCAAGCTAGCCGTAACTCTCCACTGCTTCACTTTAAAACAGCAATAAAAGGACCGCCCCCTCCCTTACCTGGATATTTTTGAGCTCAGCTCAGCTCAAGGGCACCTTTTAAAATAATTGTGAATTGGGACAAACTTTACTGCAATAAAACAAATGTTTAATTTAATTCAGAATAAGAGATAAGAAATAATTCTTCAATAAAATATATAAAATTGTACAAGGCACACCCTTTCAAAGGGATAAAAGTATATTGGGGGTGGGAGAGAGAGGCAAGATAGGAAGGTAAAATACCTGGAAGCCAAATGGGCTGTTTGACAACACCAATTTTTAGCAATTCAAAAGATGGTTTTACCCTCATCCCCCAACATGTTAAAAAGTACATCAATTTTCCTGATAAGTTTAGCACATACAATAGACACACACACACACACACACACACACACACACACAGAAAGTATGATTTTTTTTCCCCTTTCCTGGTTCTCTTGTTTGGGAATATTCAGCATATAGGCAAATGGTTACAAGATACTAATTTTTAAGCAGAAAATTACTATACCCCCCAAAAAAATCACCTTTGCAACGTGTGAGGATCAACACACCTAGTGTTTCACAGAAGTCACCAATTCCTCCTGCTGTAATTTAACTTTTTACTCTCCAATGAATAGCCCTGACAGAAATTAGGAAGTATTTCTATCTTCTACCCACTGGAGGTATTCTTAGAATTATTTCATCTCCCTCTAACTGATCTTTTTTAAAAACTTAAAATGTTGACTATGTAGAGAGAGGGAGGAAAATTAGTGCCAAATATAGTAGTATCTAATGAGATTTTTCTGATGTATGTAAAATGCTAACATGTTTTACAGCCCTTTCACTTGAAGAATTTCTCCATATCTACTTTCTATGTGCACTGTGTCTAATTCTAATATTTGTTTTCCATAAGCAAAAGTCAATCATCCTATCAAAATCAATTTTCATAAATATTTTGTCTCCCCCTTTAAGAAAATACAACAAATGGACTTACACCGTAACCTTGTCACTCTTCAGAAGATGATCTATAGAAAAATGCATATATGCGTATAAATTTTGCCTTTCAAAATAATTGAGTTTTTATGTCTGCTGTATAAAAATGTCTTATATTTTATTATATATATATATATATATTTATACATAAAAACTGCCAGAGCCAATCTATGAAAGAAGGGGGCATTTGGAAGATTACTCCAAGAAAACAGGACTTGGTGTCAACCACCTAAAGAACAAACTTTGAACTAGGTCTTGTGGCCCACAGGCCTCGCTGCTCACGCTGCTGAGTGGTGCAAGCAAGGATTGCAGGAGGACTGGGTCAGTGTAGACTCCGCGGAGAGAAAGGGAACCCTCTGAAACAAACATCCATCATGGAGTCTGTCCACCTGGCCTTCCTTAGGATAGATGGTACATGCCATATCCGACTGGTGTGGCATAGAGTCCGACAGGCGGGATAGGAAGCACAGGTCTATGGAAAGGGTAAGATGCTGCTCCATATATAGATGCTGCCTGTAGCGGGGAGTTGATGGGGAAAGGGAGACTGAAGCCAGAGGGCAGCATAGGTTTTGCAGCCATTTTCAGCTTTTCCAGTTCTGCTTCCTGCAGTCTTTTCGCCTTGGCCCTTCGGTTTTGGAACCAGATTTTGACCTGGGTCTCTGTGAGGTTCAGAGAACTGGAGAACTCTGCCCGCTCTGCGATGGAGAGGTACTGTTTCTGGCGGAACTTGCGCTCCAGGGCTAGGAGCTGGGATGTGGTGAAAGGTGTGCGTGGCTTCCGATTGGTCTTGTGCTTCCTCAGGGTGCAGGCGGTGGGGCTCATATGTCCTAGAGGACAGAGAGGGGACTCAATTAGCAAAAGTGGGCTTCTCTCTAGGCTGTTTGGGCAGATCTCTTCTTTTAACTGAGAACACTTGGTTTACACATACAACATATACTTTGTTTCATCTTTCAAAAAGGTACCTCTGTAAAGCCACATGTTTTGGAGGGATGCAGAGAAGGACCAAAGTTAGATAAACTGCTTCTTAAAAAAAAAAAACCACTCTGGGAATTTAATGGTATGATGGTATGTTCTATATGGAAAACAAATAGAACTGGCAATAATGGAAATAGAACTCATGCACAGAATTCTCCTAAGTCAAGGGAGCTGAGTATTCTGATAAACAAAACTTCATGAATTTAATCCCTTATCTTTAAAAGGAGCGGATGGACTCATGATTATCCACTTCTCCGCAATGCTCTGACAATCATACACCACAAGGAAAATGAAGAAGTTGTCAGATACTGGGTTAGCTGTTTCCCTTGGTCCTCTCTCTGAACCAGGAAAAGTTGGATTGCATCAGCATATTTATGAAAAATAATCATGCAGATAAGGTCTGTGGTGAATTAATGGCATCTTGGGAAGTGGGGGCAGACCTATGCAATAAATAACCACACAGCTGCCCTTCCATGCAGCCTACAGATTATAAAACTGAACATCATTTTACAGATCTGGATGTGGGTTAAGCTCCTTGGCTGGGTGCTTCGGGTAATATAAACTTTACTAAGAAGGAGGGAAAATTAGCTCGCCCATAAATGTACATGTCAGGGGAAATCAGGCTGCCTCTGAATTGAGAGCACATGATGACATTTTAGTCATCTTCTGTAGCCACTCTATGGTTTAGGGCAAATGTGTAAATGATTAGTTTGTCTCCTGAATTTAGAAGTGGGGGAATAACAAGCACAATAAAAGTATGGCAATAGCATCCAGACTCTGAATTGAAAATGGATTCAATTATAGGAAGTCATAGGGCTAGGATATGCTGATGATGATTGTCAACTAACTTTGGGCTTGTTTTCAAGGGTGGGGGAGGAGCATAGAGCTACAGGAATAGAGTCCTAAACAATTAATTTTCTACATTTGGCTTTTATGAGCTACAATAATTTTCCAAATGTAGCCACAGTAGCAACTCCTGTGTGCTCATTGGAGAATGTCACATTTCTTGTTTAGTTACTTTGGTGGCCCAAGAAAGAGTTTACACTTCATACTGGAGAGTGACATAGCACAAGTCCCAGCCCAACCTCCCTTTCCAAGGAGAGACAGATCTGTCCTAGTGTCACATTATTAACATCACTTTACTGGCACAAAAATAAAAAGCAGTAGGCTCAGTAGTTGAAGAGCAGACATCTGAGGGTAAGATGAGCCAAAAATTTCCATAGAAGTCTAGACTTCAGCATATGCTAATTCCCAAATAAGCTGGAGAGCAGAGGAGCCTATTTCATCATTTAAAAACTTGCTGACACCACTGTGAGAGATTTAGGAAAACTGCAAAATTCCTACGCTTCCCAAACCTGGCCAGATCTGAAAAGGAGCCCAGTCTCAGCTCAGACACCCAGCTCCTAGTACACATACTGGACATAACTGCTGGCTACAGGGATGGGATTGGAACGATCTAAGTCTTGGGCAGGGTAGCTGCTCCATGGGGTTATAATGATATCATGAAAGCCAGGCGATGGGGATCAGTACGTCAAAGCCATAAAACTATGAGGTTTCTTCCCATAGCACCATCCCCATTCCTGCCCCTACCCCATTTTAAACTAGCCAAGGAAGGATTCGATTATACAAGGCAAAACAGCGTTTACCCTACTTCCTCCCAAATAACAAAACTAGGCTTAGGAGGATGGCTCCAGGTCTCAGGGCTGTCCAGGTCAGGTCGCTAGGCATTGCTTGGCCCACCCTGCTACCACCAGACCACTTGGGCTCCCGATAGCACTCCCAGACCCAAAGTACCAACAATCCGTCTGTTTTAAAATGGTATCTTTTTAAATACTGTGCTCTCCAGTTCTTGTGGAAAAGTAATATCTGGGGTTCAGTGGTGCCTTCCAGAGGACAGAGAAGCTAAGAGTAAAAGGCCAAGATGGTTACAGGACTAGTGGGGACCTCCCCAGATGAAGGCCAGGATTTCTGACCTTTGGCTATCATTCCATTTAAGGCCTGAATCTTTGATGTGCTGCTGGCATTGCCCCAGGCCTAAGAATACACGAGCACTCAAAATTTGTTAATATATTCAGTTTTAATGTTTTTAAGCCTTTATTTCACTATCCATAAAAATGGGTAAATAATACCTATTTCTCAGGGTGGTTTCTGAGTACCATACTTTAGAACGCCCAGAGACCTTTCTGCTACTTGGTAGGTGATCTTTAAATGTCCCAAAGCGTTTGGTCTGGCCCAAACTGCTGATCTCTCTGAACTTTGCTGAAATGTTCATCTGTTAACAAGAGGCTGGCTGCTGCTTTACAAAGGAGATCAGATAAGATAATATGGTGAAAAGTGCTGTAAAGCACTGTGCAAACTTGAGTTTAAATTCTTTGAGTCCTTAATCTCCGCACCCTTTGAGTCTTTCAGAATTTCCAGCAGGGTGGAGAGAGACTGCCTGAGGGGACAGCCACTGACGCCTGGGTATATGGTCTTGTTTTGTCACAGAAAGTCTTGCATCTCCAGTCTTTTGTGCTGAATAATGGAAACAGAAAAGATTCTCTCCACCCTTTCTCACCTTTCCTAAAGGTAGGAGAGGGGTCCATCAGGGAAGGAGATAGAAATAAAGGCACAGAGAAATAAAAAAGGACAAGAAATTAATCTAAAAGGAAGGTAGGGAGTAGATTCTCAAAACTGAGAAAGGACTCAGGGCCCTAAGAGTTCACACACAGGGATCTGTCTCCACAGCTTCTGGAAATGGGGTGCAGGTGCATCTGGACCTAGTTTCTAGGAAGACAGATCAAGGACGGCCATGGCACCGCAACTGAGGGTAGGGCTTGGTCGCGAGATCCCCGTGTCCAATGTAAGGGCTGTTCATGACCAGAAAAAAGCAAATGTTGCCCTCATAAAAAACTCAGCGACCACTCTGAAAATGGGGGTAGCCACTGCTTACCGGTCTCTTCCTATATTGTGGAGCTTTAGCGAGGATCCGGATCTCAGGGGCTAATAAGCATCACTTGGTAAACTCTCAAACCCTGCTGAAAAGCTGCTAATTATTACTGTGAACCCAGCCCACTCCCAGCGAAGTTTAGAACTTCGCCAACCTGGCGATGGCTGGGGCCAAAACGTGGTGACGTTTCCTCTCTGCTTCGGTCTCTGTCACCATCCATTCCTGGTACCCGGCTTTGTCACACGAAAGTTAATGATTTATACTGAGTGCCTGGTTAGACTCCAATGAGCTCATCTTTAAATGGGAGCTCACTTCGCGGAGTGAAACGCTATGCTCCGCGTTTGGAAGCGGGGTAAGACAGCTGCCTCGTGTCCAGCCCTGATTTCAGCGCTCCTAAAACGTGGACCTCCCTCACTCCGCACCAGAGACCCCGTGGACAGTGGACAGTGGACAGTGTCCGGAGCACAGGGCCGAGTGCTGCAGATTCACACAAGGTGACCCCTTAAACCAACCTGGGTTCGCTCCTCAGAGACCAGCGAGTCTGCCCCGGTGCGAAGCACTTTGCACAGTGAAGGGACCCGGTCAAGCACAGCGCCGAGATCAGCCAGACAGCGCCCCGGATGAGGCCAGCAGGCTGATTTGCTAGGCATGCTTCCCGATGTAGAGGGAATTACAGAGGGGGCTCGGTGCCCAGCCTGAACAAGCTGTGTTCAGCTCCCCCAGGTCCCCAGGCACCCGTCTCGCCCGGGTCCCGACCCGCGCACTCACTTGGCGGCGGCGAGTATCTGCCGGGTTCCTGCATCCACGCCGCTCCGTCTTCGGAATTTTCCGACTTGACCGAGGCTGTCTCGAAGGGCTTGACCAGAGGCCCGGGACTGTGAGGCTCCCGGGCGCCGTGTCCTGGTAGCAGCAGCGGCCGCAGGCTGGCCCCGGCCGAGGCGCTTTCGGCCGGCAGCGGAGACGACTCCTTGGGAGGCTTCTTGTCGGACATGAGCGCCTCTACGCTGAAGGGCAGGCTGGAGACCTTGACGCGGCGCTCCTCGGAGCCCCCCTCGGCGCCCCCAGGCCCAGGGCCGGGCCCAGCCACCATCGCCGGGCCCTCCTCATCGGACGAAAACAGGTCATTGCCTTTGGACGGAGAAGCCATGACTTCTCTGCCCTACGTAGCTCCAGGCGAGCGACTCCGCTGGCAGCCCTGCAGCAGCGACTCAAACTTTTTGGGGGGGAGACGGGAGGGGCGCGCTGGGAGCCTAGCCTTTCCTCCAAGGGGAAGTGGGAGACGCGGCTCAGCCAATCCGCGCCGGCTCTGGTGATGACGACACAGACGCTCGCCTCGGATTGGCTTTTCCAGAAGAGGCTGGAGGGGTTTTTTTTTTCCTCTTTTTTTTTTTTTCTTTTCCCCTGTTTGAAATAAATTAGGAGTTAATTACAGGAGCAGTCAGCAGAGTTGTTATTAGGCGATCCCTCAAGGGTTATAATCACGCCAAAACTGAAAAGTCCAAGACGTAATTAAGGCAGATTATTTAAAGAGGAAGCTCGCCGAGTCCCACTTCTTTCTTTGACCCCTCTTTAAAAGGCATCCCGTTCTCATCTCACTGTGCCCCCTGTCCTACCACCGCCTGGTACGCTTAAAATCTGAAATTGGCATTGCAGGAACATTGATGAAGCTCCTACTATGCACGCAAACTGGCCTGACTTTTCATCTTTAATAGCGCTGAAAAGCACGGGCCAGCGTCCTCGCTAAGGGAAATAACACTGACGCGGCGCTTAGAAGAGCAGTATTTCGACCTCAGTGAGCACTCTACGGATTCCGCTCTTGGTGTGACTCGTTCTTTCAGGAAAGACAGAACAGAGGGAGGCCGCGAGGTGGTCGGGCTGCCTCCTCTAAATGTTCATAATGGAGAATTTAAGCCAGCAGCCCCGTCTCCTCCACTTGCACACACCAGCGTTAAACCGCAACACCAGCGCACAGTCCTTTCAGAAACCAAAATCCCCTGTCTCCAGAATCTCCTTTTGGGATAAATCCGCATCTCACTTTCTCCTCGAGACTACCGAATGCAAAGTGTGTTCATGAGTGTGTTTTGTGTGTCTAGGAGCCACTGTTTGCTTTGAAAGGTGAAGGAGAGGGAGGAAAAGTCGCTGACATTTAGTGCCTTCTTCCATCTTCCAAGTCTCAGAAATACGAAGTTACACATTTGCACGCCCAGGCCTGGGTACCTTTTGAATAGGGCACTTTTATTCACTCCACTTTGTCAAAAAGAAAAGAAATATTTAAAAACGCATAGATATCCTTACTCCACCCCGATTTATATCCTCGGCATTGAGCCCCCAAACCCTCGGTGCTATCTCAGCCAAAGCATAGAATGCAGAGGCCTCGAATTTCTCCAGGGCTCCTCAGGCCCAGGGCACCCACCACCAGTCCTTCAAGTGATGCTACAGGTGGCAGCTACTTTTTCTGGTATCTGAATCTTTATTCTGAGAGTGAGTAGGTGTAGAGCAGATTATTCACTCGGCACACACACACACACACACACACACACACACACACTTTCTAGAGCTTTGGAAGCAATCGCCAGTAGTTTAAATTATTTAAAGCATCAAGGTTAGGAAGTTTCCTTCACAAATATTAGCCTGAAGTGAAATTGTGCTGGTTCTGAGAGAATGGGGGGAAAAAAGTTCGAATCATGGGGCACAAAAACAATCTTCATTGACCAGTTAATTCAATTTGGTCCCCAAAAAGTTACAGAATAAAAAGGTTCTAAACACTGTCTTCCAAAGATCTCTGAATCTTTATCCACCACCGCAAGAAACAAGGCTGCCCTTTTTCCCATAACGTTCCTCCTCTTTTTCCTCTTCATTTTAAACAATCTGGAATCTAAGAGAAAGTTTAAAGAACCATGGAGGCTATCTTGAGATGTATGTATTTTCCCCGTGAGTCATAGCTGATGATAGTTGGCATGATATGCATCTCAAATACAGTACAGGTAAATCCAGACTAAGTTCTGTGCCTTCTAGATGCAGGAGGCAAGGTGCCAGCTATATAATTTGGAAGAAATTTGAAATTCGTTTAGCCTTCAGATGCCAAAGTGTACAAAAGTGTTCAACCCAGCCAAATGTTTTATAATTTTTCCTGAAAACTAATTGTCACTATTTGCTAGCTTAGGGGCACACAAGCTCATGCCTGAGAAGTGAGAAAAGAAATATATTCTATGGGTGTGCCTTTATTTTAATACATTTCTCTGGGAAAGGAAATGTTTCTCTCCTTATTATGCTGGATCTTGGTGTCCAAGTAGAGAACAAAAACTATAAAGCTAGAAGTAGGAATAAGTAGGTTTTTAAAAAATAGATAAAATAACTAGAGAGCCACGGTCTGGCCCTGAATAGGACGAAGAGGTAACCAACCTGCTCACCATGACGTCTGCCAGATCCCTCCCCTCCTTTTGGTGGGTTGTAGACCTTTCCGGAAAGGGTCTTCTTTTTGAATTATCTGCTCCAATGCTTGGGGGGGGGGGCTAAAACCTCAGTTCGACCTTAGCCCTTTATAGCAAGCTCCATCCGTGTATTCGCTCCAGAGGCTGGGGGTGGGGGGCAGAACACTTGAGCAGCGCGACCTTGGGAACGCTACGTCGCCTCTTTCGCTCAGCTTTTTTAAACCTCTGAAATGAGAGGTAATTCCTACCTGGGATGAGCTCTTGTAATTAAATTCAATAGGTTTCATAAAATAACCAGAAGGCGTAGGGGACCAACTTGAAAAGCATTCTTGGATATTAAAACAAAACAAAACAATTTGAATGCTTTCTCCCCTGCGGGTTCAAAAACTAAGGCCCTATCTCTCAACTTCACGGATCTCACGGATGGGCCATCGTAAAATCTCCAGGACAAGAATTGGTTTCCCCTTATCGGAGAACTAGCTTTGGCACTTAGGAGACACTCGGCAAATGCTTGTTTCCTGGTAGTAGAGTAATGTTTAAGTCGCTGAAGTATTTGCAAGTGAAAAAACGGGGTTCTACTTGGAACTCAGCCGCCACGAGGAACTAACTGCGCGACGCTAAGAACTTCGACCTGTCCAGAAGTGCATTCGTTTCTTCCAACACCACGCTTCGGGCAGAGATTATTTTCCCCAATTTACAGAAGAGGTAGGAAGCGTTAAGAGCGCTGCTCAAGGTCACGCAGGTAGCAGTTGAGAGACCCGCGAGTCCCCCGAGTGCACGTAGATCCCCAGCCCTCTGAGTCCCCCGGCTCTGGGCTTTGCGCCCAGGCCAGGCCCGTGGCGGCTCAGTTGCGCAAGCGCTCCCCGATTCCCGCTGTAGACACTCCTTGCAAACTGTGGAGCGCTGCGCGCAGAGCGCAGTCTCTGAAACTCCAAGGACCGATCGCTGGATCCCCGAGGCGTAGAGGAGGCGGGGGAGGGGCAGCGAAGGGGGCTGTAGACGGGCCAGGGCTGCGGGCAGGCGCCAGGCGCGGGGAGATGAAAGGCGGGCTCGGGGGAAGGGGCTGCGC